GTTTTCCTTTGTTGTTTTTCTTTTGTCTTAAAGTTTTTCTTAATCAGATTCTTTTTTATATGACAAAAAGGGGGAGAAAATGACAATTTTGATAATTCACATAAACAATTACCAAAGGCAACTCATACATGATAAATTTCATCTAATCATATTTTTGAGTGTTTCAGAGCTAATAACTCTCATCTGACAAAATTCTAAGAATTAACTCTGAACTAAAGTCTGAGAATCTACAAGTTTCCTCTGACGCTGAAAAGAATACAGAAGCTGAAAGGGAAGTATTTAATCTTTTCAGAAGTATTTACTTCAGGGGGAGAAATATTTCTTTTCTATTTAAAAAAAATTTCCCATAGTTTTTGTCATCATCAAAAAGGGGGAGATTATTAGAATACAGATTGGTGTTTAATATATCTCATTGTTTTGATGATAACATTAATGAAATTTTGTATAGAGAATTTATTACTCTAATTTTGTTCAAGTGTTTATTTGTTTCAGATATCAAATTAATATTATTCTGGAAGCAAGTACGCCTCTGAACACTAAAGAACGAGAAAGCTCTGAGCGTCAAAAGCAATACATCAGAAGACTCTGATATGCTACAAATGACTCTGAGCGAAGCTAAGAAGAATTTGAGTAAAGAACATACGTAAAGCTTCAGAAGACTCTGGAAGTACTTATCACTGCAAGTACAGAAGCTCTGATAAGTAAGTATGCTCTGATAAAGAATTTCACGCTTAAAGCACTTTGCTGCAAACTCTGATAGAGAAACTCTGATTCAGTTAACTCTGATCTGAAGAACTAGGAACATCATAAGAAGTTATGATGCAAGACATTCCAAAGTTGTTGAAGAAGATGCTGTTCAAATAAAGATCCGTTGGAATATTCCTTGTCATTATCCAAACGGCTCTTTCCTCATTTGTGCATGACACAGGAATTCAGACAAAAAGGATTTGTCAGAACATTCCTCTTCTGAGAAAAAAATTCAATAGAAGACAAAAAGAACAGAATGCACAGCGTTGCATAGTCTTTGATAAATGGATTTCAAAGTACTATAAAAGCAAGTCTTAGCATCACTTCAAAGGTTAACGAACTAGAAACAAATTCTTGACAAATTATTCAACAAGCAACTCATACAAACTTTCTTCAAGCTGAATAGTTTTATTTTGTTCTTTAACTTGTGTAAAAATCACTGTTGTGATATAGCTTTTTAGAAGTAAATCTTAAACACATTGTTAGTTTATCTTTTGTAAAAGATTCCTTAAGAGACCAAGTGTGGTCAGATTTCTTGAGAAGACTAAGACAGTTGTCTTAGTGGTTTACATTGTAATCAATTTGATTTAGTGGATTAAGTCCTTGTTGAAAAAGGCAAATCATCTTGGTAGGGTGGACTGGATTAGTTTGAGTTCAAACGAACCAGGATAAAAATACCTTGTTATTTTTCTATCATCCTAATTGTTTTTAAAACCCTTATTCACCCCCCCCCCCCCCCCCCCCTTCTAAGTGTTTTTCCTACCTTCAGTGTTGTGTTTTTTTTTTTGTGATTTTCCTCTCTCCTGGGCTTATTGTGCAAAAGGTGTTTTAGCCAAACTTTGACAAAGGTGGGATTGAAGGTTCCATGGTTTAAGGATTGGCAACAACTTTTCTAAAACACGGTTCACAACAGGATATTGTGTGTGATGTTATAACATGCTAATCAGCTCACCTTGAGAGAAGATGTCCAAACAGATGTTGTAACATGTTATTTCAGAACACCTATTCTGACTGTTTTAGTTCTTGATAAATTTGTTTTAATTCTGTGATGCTTCTTTTGGAATATATCTCATTAATTTTCGCAGGTCAAGAAGGTTTTTTCAAGAACAAGTTTCTACATCTCCAGCTGTGCACAAATTGCTAAAATTTGGAGGATGAGATGTTTTAGGAAACTTTTCCTGTTATTATGGAGAATATTTTGTAGAGGGTTTAAAACTGACAAAATGGAATTGATGAAGAGTCCAAGCCCATATTGCACGAGACTATATAAAGAGACTTACTAGACCTAAAAAAGTGTGTGGAATTAATTGAAAAACAAACTATGTGTGCAAATAAGGGTTTAGGGTTTAATTTTTTTTTTAGCGTGTTGCTGTATTTTGTGTCACTCATGTACCTTTTGATACATTGAGGTAGATTGTTTGTGAGACATTTATTCATCACCTAGATGCTTGAACTGCACTGGTGTTATTGAGTTGTGAGTGTCCACACTAAGCTTTTAAGCAAGAGTGTGTTGTTCTTGATTGAAGCTTTTAAGCAAGATCAAGTATTGTCTTTGAAGTGTGACTTCTTTTGATTTATTGTTAATTTAATCACGGCTAATTATGATTGTTAGGAAGTGAGAGAGTATTATCATATCTAGGAGTGTCTTAGGTAGAAATTGCACTGGGTAAGGATTAAGTGAGAAGTTGTAAACTGGAATAGTTTATCTTTGAATTAATACTACTAATAGTGTATTTCCTTCCTGGCTTGGTAGCCCCCAGATGTATATGTTGTTGTACATCGAACTGGGTTAATAATTCTTTGTGTTTTGTTATTTTTTACATCTTTAATTGTGTTATATTTTGTCGTGTCTCGGCATCTCTTAGGACATCTGATATCTACATACCAGAATTTTAAAAATAAGTTGTATTACTATCCCCCTCGCAAAGTTTCTAATTCTGGAGTTCTCTGTCCAAAAATTATTTTAAATATTCAAAGCCTCATTAAAGATGATTTGGGCCTGAATATTTTGATCATGAAGTCTCACATCAAACTCTGAATTATCCATTAGACTCTAAATAAGTCATACTTCTTCCATGATAATGTTTACCCGTTGATTCACATTTTAAAACGTTGGTGTACCCCAATTCGCGAGGACTCTCTGCAATATATTAAGTTTAAACAAGATTCTCCTTTGTGAATTTCCCTCTATTGGAAGATGCCGATTGGAAGCAAAAAGTTTACCACACTCCTCCTCGACAGTCTAGGTTTTGAAGAACATAAAGGAATTAGCACTATTATGAATGATATGCTCTTGACTGATAATGATCGGGTGTATGTCCAAAGTCCGAACAATGCCTAACAAAAGTATAACAACTTATGAATGAGTGATCTTATAAACATGTTGTGTTAAACACTTGGTTTTACAGTGAAATCTCAAAATGATCTCCTTGTGACTTTATTGATTTTAGGTTGAATCAAGATAAATCCTAATGTAATGTAATTTTTTTTTTATAAACCGCATATTTTTTTTGCGTAACTGTAGAGACTAATTCCTCGAGGCAGAGAGAATCCCAATAGACAACAAAACTCTCTCATCAAAAAATTTAACACTGCTTCGAAAACATCTCAAGATAATTCCTAATTTCGTGTGTTTGAAATTAATTGTCCAGTCGAATGCTAATAAAATAATTTAGATAAGGATCAACTATTGGGTCATGAGAAAGATCATTAAAATTGGGCTAAGAGTAACACACGCTGAGAGAGACACCACATATCTACCAAAAACCTTAAGGTAATAGGTGTGTAGGTTCTCCCACTTATAAATGCTCAAGTCTCCACATGCATAACCAATATGAGACTCCAACTCACACTTGATTTATTATTCTCAACACTCTCCCTCAAGTGTGAGTCTACAATACTCTCCCTCATATGAGAACTCTTTTATCCACATATATTTGTATCGTCGTTGACAGACACCATATATCCATCTAAAATCTAAGAAATATATTTGTATCGTCGTTGACACTTCTTCCTAGGCTGAGACAGACACCATATATCCATCTAAAATCTAAGAAATAGATGTAAGAGTTCTTTCACTTATAAATACTTAAATCTCCACATTTATAATCTAACTCACACTTGACTTATGACTTATTATTGTCAACATCAACCACACACAAATTGATTCTCTTTCCATCATATCCTATATAAACTATTGATTCTCTTTCCATCATATCCTATATAAACTTGAATGGACCCTTCTTCTTCTCCTTGTCATAGACGAGAGCCCTAAATATTCTTATGTCCATGTTTTGTACCTTTCATATATTTAATATATTAAAGTTCCTCTTTTTTTATAATGAATTTGTTTCAGCTCAAATTGTTTTTTTTGTTTATTTCGCCAATTGAAATAGCGACAGCCTGCTAAAACGTAGTTGGATTCGTAAATTTTTTGAAAATATTATTTAAATAGTAATTTGTTTATAATATATGGCTAGTTTTAAAAAAAATCTCTGTAATGCTTTTTTTATTTAATATTTATATATTCAAGTTTTTTAATGTACTACGCCAGCATCTGTTGGATAAGATGTCTTCCCAATCCCAAGAAGACTAACGTTTTGTCCTCTTCTCAAATCCCACAACTTACGGCACCGTGTTTCAATCATCCAATTGTTGACCTGCAAATTAAAAAAAAAACAACAACAACAAAAAAAATAGATCACGCATATAAGGATTAGTTCAACAATAATACAAATAAAAAAGAATAGCCCCCGTTTTTTTTTTAAAATAAAAAATAAAAATAAAAATCTTGAGTTTAAAAGAAAGAATAATCTTAGTCAAAAAGAAAAAAAAATCTTTCTAAACTGACCAAAAAAATTAAATGGGAGCTAGCTCAATTAATAATCATATAATATAAATAAGCAGGTGATATACGAATTTTCCGCAAGAACGATATAACGGACTTTTGAAGACGGAATCAATACCATCAAAATCGGCACGCAGATGACACGTCGCAAAAATCGTGACCGAATCAGACGGCGGTTAACAGATCTCAAATTTGAAAAACAAAGTCCGTCCAACAAAAAACTAAGGCTCAAATAAAAATTAGAACCTCAACAAACAAATATCTCAAAATTTATATGAACAAAAAACTCGTATGTCACATCTCTCAAAAAAATTTAAAGTTTCGTCCTAGATCCTTCGTTGAATATTTTTTTCATTCATGTATTTACTGTAATTAATATATTTTTATTAAAATATTGGCTCTCTCCTTAATGGCAGTAATTATTGAAACGAGGCCCATAATACAAGGGCCTTGGGCCTCTCTCGAGCTGGCCCGTGTAGCAATAAGCTTTCGCCGATCCATTCCTGGCGCCGAACAAATACCCTACCGGCGCCCGTGGCGAACGCCCGATTCGATACGCCGCCGCGTACGGTGGAGATTCAGATGAAGTGTAAGGTGATCTGTACGGAGAACGACTAGCACTTGACGACGACGAAGACGGATCGGGAGAAACTTTCAAGAGCGATTTTGGCGGAGAAAGAACGGCTTTGATCTTCAACGGGTGAGTTAATTTCAACGAGGCACGATCGTATTCGTCGATTATTTGAGCCAAATCTTCGTCGTTGGTGATGGAGATCAACGTTTCCAAGTCTCCTTTGGGTAATTGACACCTTAATTTCACAGATGAACCACAGAATTCTCGAAGCTTCTCCATCAAATCTGAAAAACAAGGCGAATAATCGATAAATATGAAGAACGAAACAAATTGAGTGAAATTCGAGAGTGAAAAAACTATTTAGAGACAAACCTGAAAACGAAATTGAACGATTGACGGAAAGGACTCTAGTGTGACCGCCGATGTAACGGAGTTCACCATCGGTTGATCGAGGGAGGATCTTGCCACCATAGCTACAGAGGAGCTTAATGTTTACTGGTTTAGATTCCATGACTCGCTTTTGTCACTCAGTGAGTTTAATGAAAAGTGAAAAGAATATCAGAATATTCTAGAAAGAGAGAGAAGTGAGGAAGAAGCGTGTTCTTTCGGCGTTGGAATGTTGGGGCTTGAAAACTCTGGGCTGTGATTTTGGGGAGTATTTATAGGCGGAACTTGTAACCTAAACTCTAATTTTTGTTTCTATTATTGATTTATTGTTAATTATTTAATTAAAAAATAAGATAGAAGAAGCAAGAAAAATTTAAAGTGGATACCGACTTGGAATGTGTTTGTTAAGTGTTTTAAGCAACCAATTAACATTAGCCATTTGTATTATATTTCTATATATGCGGATATTCTTTTCTTTTTGGCTTTCGAGGAAGGAAAATAGGAAAGCTAACGTTGTTTGTTAAATATTCGTTTATTTATTTTGACCGGACGTTATTTTTTTAACTTTGAAAAATAAATGAGCCAAAGTAAACTATGGAAAATTATTAATCTTGACTCTGATACACTATTGTGAGTGCAATTTTTTATCTAATTAATTAATAAATAATTTAGTCAATTATTTGATACTTTTAGAGTCTAACTAACTAAAGAAAATAAATTAACATAAAAAATCATTCGACATTATTAATATATATAAGACAAAATATCTAAATTATCTAAACAAGTGGTGATATTAAAAAAATTAAATATTTAAAGAATCTTACGTTATTGATTACCAATACAAAATATCTTATAAGATTATAATATGAATTAAATATAAAATCAATTAAAAACAAATAAGTTGTACAACTTACTAATATAAAGATATACTTATTTCTATTTTATATGTGTTTACTTGTGTTTATTTTTGAATGTTGAATTAAAAAATATTATTTAATTAAATTTAAATTTTATTTTATTTTAGACATTAAAATTATAAATTATAAATAATTTTATCAACATTTATATGTAATAAAAATATAGGTAAAAATAGTTTTAACGTGATATATAATATATTAAAAATTAATATTATTGAAGGAAAGTAACAATTATGTTTGAATTGGCCCTTTAGTCTATTCACAAAATTAATCTTTTTCTTATATTTTTAGATTTATAATTTATTATGTGTCAATTATTAAATGACACTTTAACTTGTAAAATGTCAAAAATTAAAATAAAAAAAATTGAAAAACGTTGAAAATAAAAAATATATGTTAAAAAACGTCGATTTTTAGTGAAAAAAATAATTCTGAACCAATAGGTTAAATTTAAAATGAAGTGACTAATTATGTAAATATTGAGACAAATGTTATCATTACACAAATAATATTAAAATAAATTAACATTAACTACTAGTATATGATATTGTAACAAACCAGACTCAATGTCGAAAAAGAAGGAGGTTTAATCCTTTTCACTTTATAAATTTTTCATTTATGTGTAAAAGTGGGAATGAGATTCATTTTTTAAAATTTCACTCTATCTTAAGTGATTTTATAAGTTAATTTGGACGTTGGAGTACTAATTTTGTAGGTTCATTTTTGGCATCAAAACGGACTGCAGACATTATTTTCATCATCATCGGGATGTGTTCTCTCGATTCTATTTCTTTGAAGGAACAGTGGTGATGTATGTGAGAATCGACATTTGATTCCTACTAATTCCACTACTAAACCTTTCCATTTTAGATCTACACATATTCGACAGTTACACCAAATGGATGTGATTTTGAAGGTTCTTGAATTAAGTTGCATCCTAGTACTTCCTATCGATACCGTTAGGGAAGATCCATCAAGTCGAATCGAACCTCTCTCTCCAGCCTCAAGAAGAGACGCGTTTGCAAGTGGAGGGCAAGGGATGGACGATGATCTTAGGGTTTTTGCACTAAAAAAATTAGATGGAATTCCTAATGCAGATCTTCCTTTAATCATTAGTGTTGTCATAGCTAATTATTTTGTCTCTGGAGTTCTAGTGGATGTCAGAAGCTCCCGTAATCTAATCCACATGGAAATCCTCACTAATTTTGGGCTAAGACCACAAGATCTGAAATCCTGCAAAGATAAAAGCTTGCTCGCTTTTAATGACTCCTCCATTCATCCTTACATACAGATCTACCCGCTTGTCACCTTGGGAGAAGGAATGGAAGAATGATAGTGGAAGTCTGCTTCTTTGTGATCCCAGGAAAGAGAACATACAACGACTTCTTTATATACCTCCTCAAAGCACGTCGTTTACAAAAAGCGAGTATGAAGAAATCTATCATCGCCTCCATTATTAAAGGGAAAGATCTCGAAGGAAGTAGCCAGATGACAAACATAGCCGACCTCAATATGCGTGATGAAAAGCATCCTTTGTATGACGAATTGGAACCAATGACCAGAATCAAAGCAAAAAATATGCTACCAACCCCGAATGGCGGTTTCGAAACCATCCAGTTGGATAATAACCCTTTGAGAACCACTACGACAAATAACACTTTTTATGACGAGACTTTCACCTCGAACATGCTAAAATCGAACGTATAGGTCATGGGAGTAACATGTTTGATTATTTAAAAAAAATAACCTTTTTCCTCGGTTTTATATAGCTATAAGTGAGCGCCAAATTTTCTCCATAAAAAAATAATACACCTATTACCTCATTGTTTTTGAAAACCAAAGGAATATAACTATAAGGAAACACACTTCGAATCCTTGTAACTGCATTTAAGATTTTTTTCAATGATTTCTCACTTGGCGCCTTTCAATCTTCCCTTTTTTTCTTAGTTAAATTTTTTTTTCATTTTTTTCTTGTTAATTAGTAATTATAAAAATGAATAGGCAATAATAAAAAAGGAAATATTTCATTAATTAAAAACAGGACAACAGATAATTATTCCATATATTCAAATCTCTTACTCCACTCAACTTCAATAGTATCACTTGTGAAGACATGGCTTCTCAGATGTTTTGATGAAGACTCTCCTACAAAGCTTCTCATAAAGTCAAGATGAATGAACAAAAAGGATTGATCAAGTCTCATGCCCAAAGATCAAATATCAAAGCACTATGAAGATTGGAACTCAAAGGAAAAGGTATAACACTTAAACTCATGCATTGATACAAGTGTTCAACATTTTCTTTCTTCTATGCCATGATCCTCAATAGCACTTTTTGGTTGCATACAAATGGTTTTGAAACTTGTTTTTTTTTTTTTAAATTTTTTTTCAAATCTATTTTGAAGTAATCGGTTACTCTCTATAAGGTAACCGGTTACCTTATCAAGCGTTTCAATTCTGTTTGTCAAGTAACCGGTTACTCTCTATAAGGTAACTGGTTACCCTTTCAAAAATTTCAAAAATTTTATACGTTACAGTCAAGTAATCGGTTACCCTTTATCAAGTAACCGGTTACCACTGAAGCAGAACCAAAAATTCTTTTGCATCCCTTCATAAATTTTTCTGTTATTGTGTCTGATCAACCATGGCATCCTTTCATGATTTGTGACTTTCAGAAGAGGTGTCATAGGCATATATAATCATCATATCAAGTCTTTTACACCACACCTCCTTACAAAATTTCAAATCATCTCTCTTTTTCTCTCAATCTTCTAAAAACCTTCAAAGTGTTCTTCAGATTTTTCAAAAGTGAAACTCTGCATAAATTTTCATATTTATCATCATAGTTTCATTTGTATACAGAGAACACTTGTATTACTGTCTTGATATTTGAGTGTCACAGAGGAGAAGATCAATCTTGTGATTGATATCAAAATTTCATCTACCTATTCAAAACTCATAATTACTGTAAAATCCTGAAATTCCAAGTATTGTTTGGATTTAGGTGTTGACTATAAGGAGAAGGATTGTTTCTCTTATAGGGTGTGATAAAATCCTTGTTATCCGGATTATGGATACAATAGGTTCATTGTAAGAGATTTGTTCTTGATTGGACTTTAAACTTATAAATCCAAGAGGATTGTTCTTGGTGAGTTGTTAGCATCTAGTTTAGAAAGACTAGGTAGTCTTGTCTAAGATCTAACATTATAGTAAAATCTCTTTCATGTTGAAAGGGGATTGGAGTACTCTTGACCTGTGAGGGGAACCAGTATACTTCCTGGTGTTCTTTACTTTCCGCCTTTACATTATTTCATCACTTAGAACTTTCTAGGAAAGTAAAAATCAGAACTGTCAAAAAATCAGATAAATTCTCTAAACACCTATTTCACCCCCCTCTTAGGTGCTTTCATAACTTACATCACTGTAACTATATCTAACTGAGAGAAAAGTTCAGAAATAACTCTTCCATATGGTATGAGGAAAGTCATTTCCTCCTTAGAGATGATTATCATTTTCTTTAAGAAGTAAAAAATAGTAAGAGGAAGATTAACTCTAATGTTCTTGGTAAGGAAAAACAAGAGATGCTTGTCATCCCATGTAAGCATTTTCAGTTGTTTATCTCTTGGACGAAGATTTGACATTAGAAGTTGATACAAAACTTTTTCAATTGGTCGTAGAGTAGTAGGACTACTGAGATTATTGTTGTTGGCATAAATTAGGCGAAGGTGATCTAAGTAGGCATTGTTAAATCTCTAATGTTCAACACAATAATCTTCCTCTTCATAGTTTATTGTATGAGCAATAAGTGACTAAGTAATTGTGATAGGAGAGCCATTGACATATGACTAGATTGAATCATCATCATGACCAAATGGCCCAACGAAGGTATTTAACCAAAACACTCTAACGAGATTAATGTATATGGGTCCATGAAGAACTTTAAAGTAATTATTTAACTTTTGTTTGCGAATAGTTTTTCTTAGATCAAAACCTTTGTCTTTCAAATCATTGAAATCAACAAACTTTTCATTAATAACGAACAAAAGATTTTTATCTAAGGTTGTTGAAGACATTCTTAAAGAAAAGAAAAGATTTTGAAACTAGGTTTGAAGACACAAAGAGTTGGAAATGAAACACTGAAACTCGTATTGGTGTTTAAATAAAATGGATAATAGGAAGTGAAACAATCAGAGAAGTTCAAACGTCTCCTTGAAAATTCAAAAAATGCGTTACATTTTTTAATATGGATGATCATTGTTATTCTAGTGATATGATTACAATGCGCTCATGATTTATTTTTTTTAGAAATAAAAATCACGTATTACCTCAGTTTTTAACAAAACTAAGCGGACAACAACTTATTATCTCAGTTATTCAAAAAATCTGATGGGAAAAACAATTCAGGAACTTTTTTTTATTATATAATTTTTTTTTGTAAACTAAATGATATATCATGTTGGTTTCTTACTTTCCTTAATAACCGAGAGATAGGATAATCAAATTTTATTATAAAAACACTCATTAAATAGATTTTACTCTAATTTTAACTTATACCCACTCTTATATATTCACAAATATTTTCTTATATATATATATATATATATATATATATATATATATATATATATATATATATATATATATATATATATATATATATATATATATATATATATATATATATATATATATATATATATATATATATATATATATATATATATATATATATATATATATATATATAAAACCACCAAAATAATATTCTTCAAAAAAAAAATTATAATCACACAACAATCAAAGGCATGCGTCTTATAAGATTGTCCCACCTTAAAAAATTATATTTTTTTGTCTGATGATTATTGCTCTGAAACCATAATGTAATGTCCCAGATTTTAGTCCATAACGTTACTCAAAAATTTAGATTTATTTCCAACGGCGCTACAATTTTTTTTAGAGAAAATTTAAACATTATATTTTTAATTTTAAGAAAATTTTACTAAGATCATTTTTTAGTGGAATCTAAATATCAAGTCATATTTAGATATCGCATATACTTTAAATACATTATAACTTTAAATTTTTAGTTTACTTTAAATAAAATTACAAAATAAAAATTAAAAGCCCAAATATTTATTTCCACAACTAAATACAAACATCACATCAAACTCACTTCGTATCTTCAAATTATTGTATCTAAAATGTAATATATATATATATATATATATATATATATATATATATATATATATATATATATATATATATATATATATATATATATATATATATATATATATATATATATATATATATATATATATATATATATATATATATATATAAAAGTAAAAATAAATTTTTATTTTAAACAAATTTAATCATACTCTCTAAATAAATATATTTTTAAAATTAAACATTTTCTTTGCAACATAACATATATTCTTGAACATAAAACTCAATATTATTATAATGAAAGTATTAAAATATTATATTAAAAAGAAGATATATTTAAACAACCTAAAATTTATAATTATTATCTATTAAACAAAATAAATTTTAACAAGCATAAATTTTAACTTATATAAATATATTAAGTCACATTCCAAAAACATACATCACTATCAAAAACATAAATAAATCTATACAAAGTTTCAAGAAACAAGAATGCATCAGCATGCTCTTAGCATTATATGATTCAGATATAATCAGTCCGACACAAAGGCACCACACGAAATTCATCTCATAACAATGGAAAAAATAATCTGCCACTAATGCACCACACAGAAATGGACATGTCAAGTCATGATGATAAAATGCAATCACGCAACTAAGGCAAATACCGCCATTATGGCAAACCACACCACTAAGGAAATCATTAAATCCAAATAATAATATATCATCACGCACATGACAAACATCATAAATTTTAATATAAGATATCACCACTTTACAAACACCATTTAGACAAATACCACTTAGACAAACACCGCTCAGGCAAACACTTAATTCAAACAATATTACATCATCATGTACATCATGAAAAGCAACCAATTTCAAGAATAACATTAGTCAGGGAATTATTAGACTAATTGTAATTGACAAAAATATATTTAGTTTCTCTCTTGCAATAATGCCATATTTGAATGGTTCTTGTTAAGTTCATCTAAGTTTTTGGCTTAAACTCCTAGTCTTAGGACTATGGGCCTAGGCTTTTGGTGTTCTTTTCTGGTACTTGTCTATCTTCAATGACGAATGCTACTTGGACGGAGGTTAGGCAGAAACAAAGCAAGCAAGTCAATAAGATTTCAGTTTGGACAGCTAAGTTAGGGAATGATCATGTAGCTGGCAAACATCTATCTTACTTCTTCTTCACAGAATTTCCAGAAAGTTATAATGCAAAGGAGATGGCTGAGATGTTCAAAGATTTTGGATTACTATCAGATGTCTTCATTCTGGAAAGGAGAGATAAACGCGGAAGAAGATACAGTTTCGCGAGATTTAGGAAGGTTTATGAAGAAAGACTTATAGTTGCGAGGTTAGATAGTATTCAAATAAAAGGCAAGAAAATCTTTGCAAATGTTCCCAGATTCCAAAGAGTTCGCGTGAGAGCTATGCCAAACAATACAAACAAGCTGAATCTTGGAGTTCAACAAAGAATCCAACATAGGGATGGGTGGAAAACTGGTATTCAGGGGAAAAGCTTTGTGCAGTAGTGGTAAAACAGGTTATAGGGAGTGTCGCGGTGAAAATTGGATACCAAACTATTGATTAGCTTGAATCTTATTCATTTGCAACCGGCTTTGATTTATCCAAAGGAAAGGTTAAAGGAAGGAAAACCTATTTTGCATTGTAAACACAACGCGGGGAGAGATCTAAGGTTCGGGGGTTGGTTAAACTTAGGGAAGGTACTAGCATCCTAAGTTTCTGTAGTACTCTACAGGAACCTCTTGTTTTATGCTGTTTATTGCTAAGTTATTTGCTTAAGGGTAATGTTAAGGGTTAAAGGTAAAGAGAAAGACCTAAGGGGGTTAGTCCTAAGTATACTCGCCAAGACGTCGCATCTTGTGCCTACATATCCTGACGTGAATGGAATCAGAGTATCTGTAGTTCCCCTCACGAGGGAGGTTAGAAACGTCTTGACTGTGGTCAAGGTTTCAAGGGGAATAAACGCATCTTAAGGACACACTTATGCGGAGTGTGGGAACTCCAAACTTCTACGTTGAATTGTTAAGTTGAAATTAGGGTTAGGTTAGGGATTCCGCGACGGGAAACCCTAAAATGAGTGCGGTGGCTCTTTGACCTAATGCTGGGGGTAATTTTGTAATTTTGTCTGTAGCAAGACATTGGTGAAAATTAGGGTTTGAACTTTGTAGTTTTGAGGGTTTGAGGATTATCAGCGCGGCGGCCAAACAGTTAAACCTAAACCTTCGGAGTTATGTAATGTGACAGATTAATAGTGAAGGGATGCGAGAAATTTAGTTCATACAAACAACGGAAAGTAAAAGCGGAAAGGTAAACGCGATTGTTGGTTCGCGAGGTTACAAATGAGAAGCAGTTATAATGAAAATTTGAATAAAACACACGAAAATAAATCGACGGTAACATGACTAAGCTGCAAAACAAATGACGTGGTTAGTAAGCCGAAACAAGACAGCAGTCAGAGAAGTTGTGAGATTTTTTTTAGACTTTTATTGTTTATTTGTGATATTTATATACAAGCTCTTAATAGAAATTTTTAAAAAGAAACTAAGTTAAATTTGCAAAAGGAATAATGGTTTTAATTTTAAAAAGAGTTTTAATTTATTTAGTAAAAAAGGTTTTACCTATTTATCAAAAAAAAGTTTAATTTAATTAAAAAAGTTTTATTTTATTTTTTTTTAAAAAGTTTTAATAAGATTTAAAAATTATAAAAATTAAAAGATAATGAATAAAATTGTAAAATAAATAAAGAAGATAAAAGGGAATTGGGCCGGTCATCACCCCGGACCCAACCCATTGCAACTAAAGTAATCAATTGATTAGGGTTTGGAAACCCTCATCGTGTAACCGGCGGCGCCATTTGTTTCTCGTTTCCTCTTGTTTGCTCTGTCCGCTCTTCATCTCTCTCGATCCCTTCATCTTTTCTGGAAAAAAAAACAACAAACACGTGAGAAATACGCGGGGCTTACGTTCTCGTGGATGTTCTCGACGATTTACAGGCCAATGATGAGGTGAACGGAGTCCGGAGGTTGATTGCCCGCCGGATGGAGAAGGCGGTCTTCACGGTGGTGACGGTGACGAGATTGTTCCTCTGAGGCTTGTTGGCTTTGTTTTTCGGCCGCGGATGAGTTTCGTTAGGGTTTCTACTCAGTGATTTTTTTCGGCCCCCTCTCATCAGGTGATCTTGTTCCCTTTATACCTTTTCTGATTTTGTGATTTCGTGGGCTTGGACTTGAGTTTAATTCTCGTTATTATTGTGATGACCTGAGATTTGATTTCTTTGGATTTGATTGAGATTTCACTTGATATTGATTGGATTTTTCTGATACGATTTGGTTTGTTGCAGATTTGATTGCATTTGGGAACTGATAGATTTGGATATCTGTTTCTGATATGATTTGATCAATGAGGGATTTTCGGATCTTCTCAGATATGGACTTTTGTGATTCGCCTGCTGATATGGATTGATCTGTTCTGATGCATCTGGTTTTACTGATACAATCCAGTTTTGTCATATATCTGGATATCCAGTTTGACTTGTGCTTCTGGATTTCAGGTGATGGATTTGTGGTTTTCCTGCTTTTTCTGCTATGGTTTTGTGAACTGGTGATATTCAGTTTTCTTCTGAACCTTTTTTCACTACCTTCTGATATGGTATTATGAACTCATTTATCTTCTGAACTGATATGTTTGTTCATCTGATTTGGCTTACAGTTTTGATACAGTTTGGTTGTAACTGTTTTGAATTGAACTTTGCTCTCTTTTTTCTGAACATGAACTGGTTTTGCTGCAGTTTGATTATTTGGCATTCAGTTTTGGGTGTTTTCAATTCAGGGCATGGAACTTATTTTTCCTTAGAACTGACACTCTTTATCTTCATTGTCTTTCAGGGCTGGAGCATTTGGGAATTACCACTGTTTGTGCTGTTTGTTGTGCGATAAGAGGCGATGATGTTGTCTTTAACTGAGCCCCTGTGTTGGCTATCTTCTTGTTAATCTCCTGGTTATGCACTTTCAGTTTCGTATTTCCTATTCGCCTTGGCCTTGAGTATCAGTTTGGGAAAGACTTATAGATTTACTTGATAGCGTTACACAATATTTACTTGATGATGTCCCTTTTTGAATCCACATCTGCGCAAATCATTTCGGCTCGAAAAAGCTTCCTTTATCTCTCTCTCTCTCTGCTGTCCCTCAATGGAACAGATGCTGCCGGTCGGTAGCCGAGGTTGAGATGCGGAAGTGGGAGTAGGATGCGACTTCGGTCGTGCCCTCCCGGCACCCAGTGATGAAAGTTTTCTGAGGGTGTCCGTCCCTCTCTCCTAACCTCTTTCTTGCTTTTGTTTTGTTTTCTACTTTTCAGGTAATTGGAGCTTTCTGAAGAACTCAAAGGGAATAACATGAAGATCATTTTGAAGCTTAGGGATCTTAGGACTTTTTTAGAATAGATACTCACTTGTAAATGAAATTTCTTGTAAACATATGAGCAATCATGAATTTTATCCGTCTCAAATCGTAAATTATAAATACTCATGGAATGAAATCCCAAAATATTTATATTTACTCATCAATTGTAAATTTAAAATATCCACTGAATAATAACTCGACAACACTTAATTTCACCTTTGAGTTGCAAATTATGTATACCCATGAATAAAGATTCAAGAATATTCAAAACTTACCTCTTAATTGTAGGATTATAAGTGTTTATGAATGATATTCACAAAATATTTTAAATTCATTTCCCTTTTGTTTTGGACAATGATATGGATGAAATCCCTTATTTGTGTACCCTTTGACCATTTATCGATTAAACCCGGACAAACTCCAACTAAATTCCCGCTTTCTCAAAATAGTATCCGCTTTACTTTGAATCCAAAATAACTGCTTAAAATACTTCAAAAACCAGACAATGAATGGCCCCGAGTCCAATGATATTTCTGACAACCTCTTTGACACCAATCAACGCGAACCAATTCCTCAATAACCACATGATAGACAATTGCCTCAGACACGATGGTGCTAATTTTCAACTTCTTCAAAATCTGGCAGAACCAACGTGAAAAGACTAAAATGCCCCTGGTATACTTCCTGCAAACAAAACGCATTACATAACCTGTTAATAGTTAGCGGAGGCGAAAAATGAGATGTTATGCAACATGAATCGACTAAATCTGAGGGTAAAATTTAGGGTATGACAGTTGAACTATAGTGGTTTCAACAGCAAGGAGGTGGGATCTTAAGGTCAAAAATTAGGGTGCAACAGGGAGGAAGATATGAATTATATTGGCCCAGGCGGAAGGATTTTGAAGGAAAAGAAACCAAAATTTGCTTATTTGATGTTCAAAGTGAATGAATCGGAGATGGAATGATTCGTTGATAAGGTTGGTTTAACATATGGAATCCAAGACGCTTTCAATGCAAAAGGCTATTTTAGCATCAAAGTTTCGCCTTTAGGCGCAAATCGTTGTCTACTTGAGGAACGTAAAGTTGGGGAGTTGAAACTTCTTGTAGAAGAGGAGCGTTCTTGGTTGTAAAGCTTATTTAACGAGATTCACCCATGGTCTCCAAACAATGTTGATAAGGAACGTCTTACATGCATGAAGTATTTTGGATTACCTTGCTATGTATGGAACTATAAATTTTTCAAATCCATATTGTCGCACCTCAAAAATTATAAATCGAGAACATGACCCTCGCGCGAAAGGTGCAGAAATGTGGTTCAACAGAGTCACTCCCGAACTTTATTTATCCCAAAAAGATGGGAAAGGAAAATATCGAGAAAACCTTTAAAGAGAGGATAAGAACACGGTCTTCGCAACCACGTTCTGGGTTCGGAAGTCGGTTACGCAAGGGGAAGGTATTAGCATCCCTCACGTCTATTGTACTCAACGAAACCTCTTAGTTCAATTTGCAATGAATGTTATCTGCTTGTTTGTTTTCTTTTTAATGAATAAATGTGAAATGCTAGGATAAAAGGACTCAATGCTATGGGGAAAACGGGTGGTTCTAAGAATAGGGTTCTCACCAAAGATTGAGGCCATTGTGCCTATGTATGCTCATTCAGAAGAGAATGAGAAATCAGAGCTTTCATAGTTTGACTACGGGAAAGGTTAGAGGGAAAACGGAAGATGGAGGGAAGGTAGACGTGGAATGAAGGAAAAAGATGGAAGTGTGCTCGCCACGATCATCGCAATCTTTTGTTTACGTATCTTACATTCAAAGAATGAATGAAGAATCAGAACATCCTTAGTTCATGTAGACGACCACAAAAAGAGAGGGGGGAGTTTGTATGTGTTGAAGTTTGATTGAGAAACAAAATATTGACTAACAAACAACCCAAGGGGCGTGCCTCGAGAGCTGTCACTCAAGAATCCAAGGAATGCAAGAATCCAAGAACTCAGTTCTTTCGGGAGTTTATTGAAAAGGTTTGAGAAAGGTTGAATGTTTTGAATTCAAAAGATTGAATGAACAAAAACTCAAGGGGTGTGCCTCGAGATCCATTCATTCTATGATTC